CATATATATTCTATATAGTGTGTATAAATTTATACATTACATGTATAAACTTATACATAATATGTATAATGCTTATATATAGCATGTACAAACTTGTACATAGTATATAAAACTCTTATGCATAGCGTGTATAAACTTATATAATTCATATATAATGCTTATATATAGCATTTATAAACTTGTACAAATTGTGTATAATACTTATACATATCATATACATAGTGTGTATATTGCTTATGTATAGCATGTATAAACTTATACATAGTATGTATAATTCTTATTTATAGTGTATAAAATGTATTTACATATCATGTATAAACTTATACATAGTGTGTATAATACTTGTATATTACATGTAAAACTTGTACATAGTATTTATAATACTTATATAGTATGTACAAACTTATACATAATATGTTTAAAGCTTGTACATAATGTGTATAAACTTATACATAGTATGTATATTATTTATAGATAGTGTGTATAAACTTCTACATAGTATGTATAATGCTTGTATAAACTTATATATAGTGTGTATAATACTTTTATATAGCATGTATATTGATTGTATATAGCATATGCAATGTTAATATATAGCTTGTAGAAACTTGTATATAGTATATATAAACTTATTTAGAGTGTATAATACTTATGAATTATGTATAATGCTTTTATATAGCGTGTATAGATATGTACATAGTGTAATAATTGTATATAACATTGAACGTAGTGTACAATATTTGTATAAACTTATATATAATGTGTATAACTCATATATACAATGTTTTCAATGCTTGTATATAACGTGTACATAAAATGTATAATGATTGACATTACGTGTATAAACTTATATATAATATGTATAATACTTATACATTTCATGTGTAAACTTGCACATAATATGTACCATTAACTTGCACATAGCATGTAAAAATTATGTATATAGCATGTATAAACTTTTACATTATGTGTATAATCCTTTTACACTGCGTGCATAAAGTTATACATAATGTGTATAAACTTGTTCATAGTTTATATAATACTTATGCATAGCATGTATAAACTTATAACTAGTCTATATAATGCTTGTACATAGCATGAGTATAATATTTGAATAAACTTGTCTATAGTGTATATAATGCTTATAAATAATGTGTATAATGCTTGTACATTGAATGTATAAAATTATACATAGTGTGCATAATGATTGTATAAACTTGTATATAGTAGATAAAAAGCTTGTACACAGCATCTATAATAATTGTATAAACTTATACATAGTGTGTATAATACTTGTGCATAGCTTGTACAAAGTTATACATTATTTTTATAATACTTATATATAGTGTTTACAAACATACACATAGTGTGTATAATGCTTGTAAATAACATGTATAAACTTGTATATAGAGTGTATAAACTTGTACATTGCATGTATAAACTTGTACATTATGTGTGTAATACATATACATAGCATGTACAAACTTGTACATTGTGTGTAAAATGCTTGTACGTTGCGTGTATAAGCTTGTATAATTCAAATATAATGCTTGTACATATAATGATATATATATGCCTTATATATAGCATGTGTTAACTTGCACATAGTATGTAAAAATTATGGATATAACGTTTATAAGCTTATACATAGTATGTATAAGCCTTATACATAGCTTGTATAAACTTGTATAAAGTGTATAAAAATTATGTATATAACGTGTATAAACTTATACATGGTGTGTATAATCCTTATACATAGCGTATATAAACTTATACATAATGTGCATAAACTTGTTCATAGTTTATATAATTCTTATACATAGCGTGTATAAACTTATAGATAGTCTGTATAATACTTGTACATAGCATGTGTATAATGTTTGAATAAACTTATATATAGTGTGTATAATGCTTATAAATAGTGTGTATAATACATATATATATATATATATATATATATATAATTTATAAACTTATATATAGTGTGTATAATGCTTGTATAATACTTATAAATAATATGTATATATGCTTGTACATAACTTGTATAAACTTGTAATACATAATATATATAATGCTTGGACATAACATGTATAAACTTGTATACAGTGTGTATATTATTTGTAGATAGTGTGTATAAACTTCTACATAGTATGCATAATGCTTGAATAAACTTTTATGTAGTGTGTATAATACTCTTTTATAGCATGTATAATACTTGTATATAGCATGTATAATGCTTATATATAGCTTGTATGAACTTATATGTATTATATATAAACTAATTGGGAGTGTATAATACATTCGAATAGTGTGTATACTATTTGTACAAAATGTGCATAAATATGTACTTAGTGTATATAACACTTGTATATAACATTGAATGTAATGTAGAATGTTTGTATAAACTTATATATAATATGTATAATTCATGTATACTGTGTGCAATGCTTGTATATCACGGGTACATAGTGTATATAATGCTTGCACTTAACATGTATAAACTTATACATAGTATATATAATACTTATAGATAGCTTGTATAAACTTGTACATAACATGTACAATACTTGTATAAACTTATACATAGTGTGTATAATAGTTATACATAATATTTATAATACTTTTTCATAGCATGTATAAACAAGCACATATTGTGTAAAAATTATATATATAGCATTTATAAACTTATATATATTATGTATAAGTCTTATATAGAATATGTAAAAACTTATACATAATATATAAAAATTATGTATATAGCATGTATAAATTTATACATGATGTGTTTAATTCTTATACATAGCGTGTATAAAGTTGTACATAATGTCCATCAAATTATTCACAGTTTGTATATTCTTTATTCATAGCATGCATAAACTAGTACATAATGTGTATAATATTTGTACATAGCGTGTGTATAATATTTGAATAAACTTGTGCATAGTATGTATAATGCTTGTATATATAATATATAAACTTATACATAGTGTGTATAATATTTATATAAACTTGTATATAGTGTGTATAATATTTGTACATAGCATCTATAATACTTGTATAAACTTATACAGTGTGTTTAATGCTTATACATAGTATGTACAAACTTGTACTTGTATTTATAATGCTTATATATAGTGTTTACAAATATATACATAGTGTGTATAATGCTTGTTCATAGCATATATAAAATTGTATATAGTGTGTATAAACTTGTACATTATAGGTATTAACTTGTACATTATGTGTATAAACTTGTATATAGTGTGTATAATACTTGTGCAAAGCTTAAACAAACTTTTACATAGTGTGTAAAATGCTTATACATAGCATGCATAAACTTATATAATTCATCTATAATGCTTGTACATATTATGTATAAACTTCTACATAGTGTGTATAATACTTATACATACCATATATATAATGTGATAATGATTACATGTAGCGTGTATAAACTTATACATAGTGTGTATAATTCTTATTTATAGTGTGTAAAATGCTTAAACATATCATGTATAAACTTATATATTATTTGTATAATACTTGTATACATGTAAAACTCTTACATAGTATGTATAAAACTTGTATATAATATTTATAATGCATATACATAGTGTGTACAAACTTATACATAATATGTATAATGCTTGTACATAGCATATATAAACTTGTATAAAGTATGTATATTATTTTAAGATAGTGTGTATAAACTTCTACATAGTATGCATAATGCTTGTATGAATTTATACGTAGAGTGTACACAAATATGTGCACAGTGTGTTCAAACTTGTATATAATATGTACAATATTTATACATAGTGTGTATAAACTTGTACATAATATGTATAAATTTATACGCAATATGTTCAATACTTATAACCAATGTGTATAAACTTATACATTGTGTGTATAAACTTATACAATATGTGTACAAACATATACACACTGTTTATAATGCTTAGGGTTTAGGGTACAAAACTCAAATTTATAATGTTTATAACCCGAAACCCAAAATATAATATGTATAAATTTGTACGCAGTGTGTTCAATACTTATATCTAGTGTGTATAAACATATACACTATGTGTACAAACTTGTACATAGTGTGTATAATTAATTTAACTTAATTAGATTACTTATTTATACTACTTATTATTATATTAATTTAAAATCTAGGGTTTGGATTCATCTCTTTTTCTTGTCACCATTTTTTCGTGTTGCACGTGCTTCGCATGATAGGATCTTGCTTGCTACTTCCTTCTCTACTCAAGGCAGAGTACATGAATGGAGTGAAAAAGAACAAAATAAAGTTCTTCTTCACCTTATCAGTTGTTCGAATGCCGACGAAGCCCCATGAGTCGCTACCCAATGTCTTGCTTGTTCCACTTCTCGAAGGTAATGATTTTTCTCCCCTTTCGAGTACTTATTCCGCTAAATCTAACTCCATAAATTTGTAAATCCACCTCTTGATGGTATTTAGATTTATGTAGATCTATGCCATAAATCAGTAAATCTTGAATTTACACAAGCGTCAAATTTACAAGCCCTCTGAAAATAATTTGGCTGTATTTACGTTAAATCCTACTTAAATCTCCTGACAAATTTGATACCAAATAGCCGCTAAACCTTAAATCTTAAACCCTGAAACATATATGCTAAATCCTAAAACCTAAACCCTAAATCCCATATCCTAAACCTTAAATCCTGAGTCCTAAACTCTAAACCCGAATAAGATGTGATTTTAATGAATTATCTAATTTAAATATAATAAAATATAAGTTTATTAATAATTTTGAAATATTTAATAATATCTTAAAATAATTATTTGTTAAATGTACAAAAAAATTCAAACAAAATAACAATCTTTATTTTATTATATTATTAAAGTAATAAAATAAAGTATTTCAAGCACTTGCACCATTTAAAATATTATCATGAAATAATGGAATAAAATAATATTTTCTAAAATAATTTTAAAAACCATAACTCATTATAAACTTTGCATAATAACATTGATGATTTCATAAACCCTCTGCCATCGGCGCCGACACAACCGAGGCGAGTAGGCTGTGGGACGCATATGGAGGGCGGTGACGAGGGTCTGGTGAAGCTTCTCGACTCGAAGGACCTCCAACAGCAGAGTAAAGCACTTGACAAGCTCACCGATCGCGTTGAGGACCGACAGCTCGATTCCACTCGAGTACAAGAGGTTAGATTTGTTATTATTTTTTTTTAATGATCACCACTAACCTTCCTCCTTGCTGGTCGATATGAAGCAACTAGAGATATAGAAAACTCATTTTTTTATAACTCGATTAATGGTTTTCTTGTAGTAAATGGTTCAGGTTTCGCGAAACCTGTGTCAGTTTCTCCACACTTGCAGAAACCCATTTTGTTCTTTATTAGTTTTATGCGATATCCTAGCCCGAATTTTTCTATGTTTTTATTATTAATTCATTTTTAAATTGTTTTTGACTAGTAAGCGGAATTTCCTTACTTATTTGCAAAAGTAAAATTTAGCTCATTATTTGACGTATCTTTTAATTCTTTTCCCAACATTAAATCCTGTAATGATGTACTGATAGTAACATAGAATGAAGGAAGCTATAATTTTTATGTGGTGGATTTGTATCACTTACGAATATAATAAGGGGTAGAAAGATTTGGGCTAATTTTCATGTGTATTATTTTGTGTGGAACTCAAGAAGGCTTTATGAAGGAAGATATGATGGGTGTTGGTATTCTAGTAGTAGCTTAGTATGGAGGAGTTGTTCAAGATTGTGATATGAAATTTTTTTGTGTTTAGTTGAAGAAGGGCAAACTAGTTGGACTGATGTAGATTTTGACTAGTTATCTTAACTTGGAAAAGCAAGGAAAGAGAGGTGTTAAAATTTAAAGAGAAGCTCCAAGGCCTGTAAGGAGAATGTTGGGAAGATGATGATCATCATTATCATCAAACCTTTATCCCACTACATGAGGTCGGCAACATGAATTTTTTTTTATGTTGTGTTCAGTTAAATGTCAAATTCTTATTTAAATCTATTTAAAGAACTTATTTCTAATACTTTCTAGCCAAATCTTTTTAGGTCTACCTACACATTTTTTTAACAAAGGCTAAATCTAATACATATCTTCTGATTGGGTCATCAGAGGGCCGATATTTTATATGACCAAACCATCTAACATGACTCTATATAATCTTATCTGCCATTGGAGTTACTCCAACATTTTCACGTATATGCTCATTTCGAATGTGGTCTCTAAAAGTAAGGCAACTCATCCACTTGAGCATTCTTAACGCTACATCACTTAACTTAATTTTATGCTTCTCTTTTAATGGCCAAGATTCTGCGCCTTAAAAAGTTGCAGGTCTCACTACTATCATATAGTTTTCTTATTAGATTGTGATTTTACAATCCCCCACTACAGTAGGCCCGATGCATTATTCCACTTTAATCATCCAACTTGAATTCTTCTAATATTATCCCCATAAATTTTATCATTACTTTGAACAATATACCTGAGATATCTAAAACATATACTTTTATCAATTGCTTGATCGCCCAAAGTCACAATCCCCCACTAGATCTAGTACTTCTAAAATTACACTGCATGTATTTGGTTTTTGATCTACTCAAAAAAAAAAAAACCTTTAGGCTCTAAGGTTGACCTCCATGATTCAACTTTTACTTTAACTCCCTCTCTAGTCTTATCAACAAGAATAATATCATCAGCAAAAAGCATACACCAGGGTACATTCTCATGCAAATGTCTAATAAGACATCCATGACAAAAGCAAAAAGGTATGGGCTTAAAGCTGATCCTTATCCAATTGAAATAGGAAAGTACTTGGTCAAGACACCTTGTGTTTGAACATAAGTAACAACACATGCATAGATATCCTTAATGACTTGAATATAAGCATTATTAATTTTTTTTTCCTAGAACTTTCTAGAGCATTTCTCTTGGAACTTTATCATATGCTTTCGCTAATCAATAAAAATCATATGAAGATCCTCATTCTCTCTATACTTCTTCATCTAACTTCTCAATAAATGTATAACATCCATAGTAGACCTACCTAGCATGAATCCAAATTGATTTTGAGAACCATTAGTATCACATCGTAACCTATGCTCCATAACTGTCTCCCATAATTTTAAAGTATGACATATTAACTTAATTCCTCTATAATTTGCACAATCTTGTGCATCATCTTTATTCTTAAAAATAAGAATCAACACACTCATTCTCCACTCATCTAACATCTTTTTAGTCTTCAAGATAATATTAAAAAGTTTAGTAAGCCAAAGAATTCCTTCATCTCCTAGGCATTTCCACATCTCTATTGAAATATCATCAGGTCCAACAACTTTTCCTCACATCATTTTCTTTAAGGTCTCTCTAACTTCAGTTTTAATAATACGACAATAAAAACAAAATTCTCTATTTTGATTTTGGGTGCTAAGGTCATTAGGTCAATCATATTCTCATAATCTTTATTGAAAAGCTTATCGAGATATCTTATCTACCTATGTTGAATATTTTTTTCTAATAAAAATTGATGATGAAAAATAAAATTAAAATAAAAATTAAAATTACAAAGCATAAATCTCCTTATCATAGGAGAACTAATTCAGGTCACCAAACCAAGGATCGTGAATTTTCCACTAAGCCAACCCTAAATAAGAAAAACACTTCACATATGATATCTATTCCAAATCTGATGCTCACAACCTAATTTCAATGACTTTATTTAGGCTAGCACAAAAAAAAAATTAAGTAGATTATGAAAACATATGAATACAAATGGTCACACAAAATGTTAGCCCTTGAATGTTATAAAATGAAAGATAACTTTCATTTTATAACATTAAAGGGCTAAGATCAGGGGTGTTCATTGAGAAGCTACTTCAAGTTCACTTTAAATTTTCATGGAGAAACTACTTCAAGTCTTCATGGAAACGTTGCTTTAATTCTACTTCAAATATTCATAATTAAGCTACTTCAAGTCACCCTAAACCTTAATTGAGAAGCTACTTTAGTCCAATCCGAATCTTCATGGAGAAATGATTTGTCATTCCAACCTCCATAGTCATCCAAGGCTTCTTGCAAATGACAAAATTGCCCTTGAGATGACTAACCCATGCAAAAAATTCATGAATAATATTAAAATTTTCATGCAAGGTTGCAATAAGTTGTTCCAACATGTATAATTGTACACAATTATTCTACATTTTCTTATGCTTGTAACTTATATATATGAATGTATATGTATATAAAGAACGAGAATTAACATGATCACATGAAAATAAAAATGAAAAATAAGTTAGGATTATATGAGCACTACATAAAAATGGAAGAAAGCATAAAAATATTCTAATGCAATGCTTGTTTAAGGTCTTCCATATAGGCACTCCAATATCTTTCATTTACTTAATCTCTCATTCTTATGTTGCACCAAATAAGACACAAAGAGTTTGATTTCCTTCTTATCATGCTTTAGCTACTATCTTTTACACTCAGAGTTCATAATCTGAATATCAAATTGGCTAAATGTGTTGCATAGATTTAGTTGTTTGGTACAAAAGAATTCATTGACATCCAAAGTTAGGATAGCATAAATGATAATCTTAAAGATGGATTTATGGAAAACTAGGAAGGATAGAAAAAGAAATGGTTAAAATAAAGGGATGGTGGGAATGACATCTATTGAGGTTAAGCTGGTGGAAAATAGACAAATTATCTAGACACTTGTAATGAAGGATATAAATTGCTTCAAAACAAGATAGGTTGTTAAAATTAATATCAAAGTAGTATAAGAAAAAGAGATGAATTAAAGATAGATTTCTATAGAATTATGTAGAGAAAGAAAGACGGGATAAATATAATGTAGAGAAAAATTGTGCAAAATGATTTGTGCATAGTAGATTTAGCATCTCTTATAATATTCAACAAGAACGTGTGCATAGAATTATGAGTGATGATTAATGAAGATGAACATAAATAGTAGGATAAGGCTACTCCTTGGATGATGATGATGCATAATATTGTGAGTCCTTGGTTGTTTCTTTTTGCCACTGTGTTCTATTCATGTAGATAGTTGCTACATTGTTAGAAAAGTTTATCATATTATTATAGTACATTTTTAAAATTTTAATTGTTCAGTAATAATCATCACACATTCAGGTTTTTTTTATTAAAATTTGCTAGGATATTGGATCTAAGGAAACTAGTGCCTTAAAAAGCTTGGTAGATTAGGATCTGATTTATACATTGATTTGTGTGCAGCGGGGTTGTCAAATTGTGTAATTTCATAGCTCAGGGTCAATCAATCTCATCTCTAACATAGCAACTTTACACCATGTCAGTTCACATGCCTTCTACCTTCCTTGCTTTATGTGATTTCAAATTGATCCCTCCACTACTAAAAGCTTCATAATCGAGCATGGACATATTAGATATTAGATTTAATTAGATCAAGTTGCAAAGTATATAGGACATATAATAAAGAGGACACAAATGTTCATCCGCAAATTAATACCAGTAAAATGGGAAAAACTAGGAATATTGCATGTGACATATAAGTAAACATTGAATCCAAAAATAAATGAGACGTGATGGATAAAAGGGGCCACAAATGATTCGCGAGAGTTTAGACCATCTTATGCCATGCCAGAGATTTAACATCACAGATTCCTATCTTTCAATATATGCAAGTGATGGAATTCCAAAAGAGTTCAATGTATGAGTAACCACTTTGATCTCTCTAATCCATTTGCATATCCATAGCAACATAATGCGATGGTTCTTCATATCCGAAAGAAAGGTTAAAAATGCATATTAAAATTTAAACATATGGGCATATTCTGCCAATGCAAGTCACCCAATTGTACTGCGGTAAAAGGCATGACTTAATTAATAGGTGCATGAAATCAGACTTATATGTGGGAGAATTTTTTTTTCAGTTTTGAATATTTGTTTCTGATTTTCTTAAAAATAGGGTGGATTCCCTAGTTTAAGGTAAGTTAAGGATTTCTCCCATATAAGACTTTGGTATTTATAGGAAAGTGTCTTACGACTAAAAGATACCTAATTACTAAACTATCCCTTATTAAAAAAGAGAGAAAGAGGACTTATTAAGAATTTTTTTGAAAGTATTTGTGAGTGATACGCCACCTATTATCAAAACTTAGAAATGCTTGCTTCTTTCCTTTGTCCTGAGGAAGATGTGGTTTTTTTTTCCTCTTTGCCTTTAATTTATTGGGAACTTATATTTTTGCTTCTATTCTTTGACCGAGGAAGTTTTGATTTTCTCCATTTTTTTTTTGGTTCCATAAACTTGAGCTATGGAAACATGTAATTATCTTGTCCTGCAGCTGGAATTCTAAATGAAATATCTGTTGAATTTCAATAATAATTTCGTTGAAGTCCTTGGGTTGGTACACTGGATAGCTGGGAACTAGAATAAGTTTTGTTCTTTATTGAACTTGTAAGATATTGATTTGTTTTGGTATAGTGTGTTTCTGTTCATGTGTTTCTACATTCTCATGTTCTACATTTTGTTGGTGTCTTGCTGTCTATACAGGCCATGGCAGCTCTTGCATCCTCTAAAGAAGCTGACTGGAATACGATGAGAATGAGGTTTGCTTACTTTGTTTCCATGTTGCTTTACAACTTGGGCTTGTTTGTTTCTAGTGTATGTAGTTTGATTGCCTTCTTACTGTCATATGATTTGTACAAAATCAATTTATATTTTGTGAATAATAACCATATGCAGAAGATTAGCTAGCATCAATAAACATTCAAGAATCTAGCTAACTATTAATGGTATGTAAAAAAAGTAATAAACTACAGCGCCTAATGATTACCAAAATTAGTTATTCTTTTTTTCCTTGTATTTGATGTTTATCTTACCTTTAATTGTCCCTTTACAACAAACAATCAACATGCATCCTTCCCATTCTTTTTTCCAACTGTTCATACAATCTCATTTATTGGTCTGAGCGCCTAATGACTGCAAAATTTGGTTATTTTTTTTCCTTGTTTTTAATATTTATCTTACCTTTACTTGTCCCTTTACAATAAACAGTCAACATCCATCCTTTTCATTCTTCTTTTCACATGTTCATAGAAACTCATTTATTGGTCTGCCATCTCAATAGATTTACCAATACTTTTATATGCATAAATTTTCTATTGTAAATAAAATTTGGCCATATGTCCCCCACTACCCCACACACACACACATATATATATATATGTATATATATATATATATATAATACTTTCTGTACTATTGGAAATGAATTTATCTTGTCATTCATGATTACTTTTACATATGTATAGCTCTTTTGTTATCTGCTAATGCTTGTCAGATCTATTTTCAATCTAGTTTATGATTTCTTGTTATTTTATTCTAATAAGCCAAAGGTAGCATATCTAATCCACAAGGGTCAGCATCCAATACTTGAATGATTTGAATCAAGTGTGGTTCTTGGTTTAAGCTTTAAGTGGAGTTTTTGAGAAATGAGCAGTTGTTAAAGATAAGAGACTTACAATACAAGTATGAACCTAAGATTTAATTACCATCTAAACAAAACCTTATCAGGTTATTAACACATGTGGGTTTTATTCCTTTTGAGGTTTTTAGCCAATGTAGGCAGGGTTTGGCTGGAATATAGCAGGAATTAAACCAAGGATGATTGAATCTTTATAGATTTCAACTGAAGAGATTTTATATGAGAGATGATTGTTTGCAATTGTAATTAAGCATGCCCAAGGCCAATTCAAAGATGAGAATAGACTAGAAAATAATGTTATTGAACCTTGAAGGACCTTATTGGTGTTGCCTTCTTTCCTTTGCACTTAATGGCTTCCTCTTGATGCAAGTCCATTTTCCCACTGATAATACTATGGCTAAAGAGAGTTTATATAAGAAGAGTGAGAGTAGTATGGGAAAGCGGATTTGAAATTTTCATTTTTTAATCAAATACTATGTGGAGAATAACATACCATCTTAAAAAATAGAAATAATATTCTACAATAGGTTTGAAAACAAAATAAGGTTTTGAGAATTCCATTTTTTTAATCAAATACATAGAGAATAGCATACAATGGTATTCAAAGGTAAAAACACTGTTTTGAAAACCGGACCGGACCGGCCGTTACGTCATCCGGTTCGACCGGTCAAACCGGTCGAACCGTGAACCTCTCCCTCTTCCGGTTCGTTGTCCTGTCCGGTTTTCACAACCTTGGGTAAAAATATAATTTTTTCTTAAAAGACAAATGATATTCTACAATGGTATTTAGAAATAAAAATAGAGTTTTGAAAAATATCCACAATCCTAGATATTTTCTCATATCTCATATAAATAAGATAGAGTTTATTTTATTTCGAGTTCATATTCTCCACAAAGGCAATCTATTATGATTAATTACATCCCAAGAGAAACGAGTATCTTGAGAATACTCTAGATTAAGAAGTGGTAAAGATTTTTAAGTTTTCAAAGTTTAAAACATGAATTTGATTTTTGAATTTCATAGAAAATTGTTTTAAAGTTGATTAGTTCTTTTTGGAAGCCAAAGAATGAAAATAAGTGAGAAGTATTTAGATTTTGAAAAACTCAAATGTACTCTAAACTATCATATGTCGGACTTTTTATCTTTTGATATTTGAATTTATTATTTGAGTTGTTATTTTATTAGAAAATTGAAATTTGTATCTCTCAATTACAAGATTAAAAAAATGCCCCAAAAGATGTAGGTTTATGATGTAGAGAATCAACCTCAGAACCTAAAAGTAAAACACTATAAGGTAGTAGCTCAAATCTAGTCTAGCAAAATGCAATTGAGACATATATACTTGACTATATTCATGCAATTGAGACATAGAAGTTTGAGATAACCCGTCTCAGCTGGAATTAAAATCTTACCTGAAGTGGAATGCTAGCTAAACCCATCTAATTGATTTCAAAATCAAGATATTCAGTCTCGTGAAAATGCAAGATAAGAATTTGTGTTCGACATTTAGAGATCCCAAGTGGTCATACACATATGAATGATATTTATGCTTCTAATTCTAAATGCAATTAATATTTTATTTTTATTGGCTTATTTAATGCAATGTCATGTTGATCATATATACAATTTGTATGATTTAAAATTTTAAATAAAGGTTAAAAAATAGATTTTATCCTAAACAACAAGCCTCTCTTGAAATTTAACCCTGTCCTTATAGATTGAGTAGTTTTTTCAATCCTATAGTCAAGAAGGTGCCTAAACGAGTTGAATTAACATATCATGGACCTCACTAGACGTCATTTAAGTCCTTCCAGTAATTTATCTTTTTATGTTATTTTAAGAAATTTTTATTTGTTTGAATAGAATAAATTAATTTCCCTAAAATCATATACATAAAACAAGCACAAAAAATTATTTATTTCTAATGCACGATCAAAAGAAGCAATCATTCAATCAAAGAAAGAAATATTAAAAAAGATAAAGTAAACAATCAATTGTGGCAAGTGCAGCTTAATTACAACCCATTTATAAGAAAGAAAGAGGCAACTAAGTAATTGCTTTAATACTTCTGGGATTCTACTCCTACAAAGATGCAATTCATTTGTTGACCTGTTGCAGACAAAAAAAAAAAATGTAATCTTACCTACTCTGTCATCCCACGACCAATGCACGTCGCACGACCGCTCTTCGCACGACGAGGCCATGCCTCGCGTCATTTCTCCCCACGATCGCCGAACAACTCATTTGGAGTCGTTAAAAGCCTCGAGGCAACGAGGCCTTCGGCCTCTCTGGTTCCCTCTTTCCCTCGCACTTGATCTCTCTCGCACTCGACCCCCTCTGCTCTATTCGACTTCGCTCGTTCAACAACTTTCCCTTTCTGCCGGATCGGAGTCGGACATTTGATCGGAGGCAAGGACGCGAGCTCGCTTGCTGTGAAGAGACTCCCTTCCGATTGCTTCTCCGGCTCCTTCGAGGACGTTCGACTTTGCTCCTCTCGACGACTTTCCCTCGCTGTCGTGATGGAAGTACGACATTTTGATCGGAACTAGAACAGGAGCTCGCGGGCTGCGGGGTTAACTTCCTCCCCATCCGGTGCTTCTCCGGCTCCTTGTGGCTGCTCGGCCTAGCTCCTTCGACAGCATTCCCATCCTGTAGGACCGGAAGCTACAACATTTTGATTGGGATCAACGACGGGAGCTCACGGGCAGTGAAGGTAGCTTTCTACCTTCCGAGCACTTCCCTCATCCAAATCCTATAAATAAAAAAATTTATTATTATAATATTTGTATTTATTTTAATTAATTATAATTAATGTTAATTAGTTAAGTTAATTATGATTTAATTATTTTTAATTATAATTAATTAAATCTAATTATTATTAATTATAATTAACTAAGATTAATATAAAAATAGAATGGCTTGCCTCTTCTCCCGCCTCGACATCCGTGCCCTCCACCGCCGGTCCACTGGTCCACCGGCCGCCAAAGGTATAACTTTTCGAACCCTTGTTTGCTCTCTTACCTCGGCATGTGTGTCAAGTCGGTGGTCTGCCTATACACGCTTTTCTTAGCGTGGTGGGAGGGGCAACCGGCGCGACACCCACGACAAGGTAGGCGAGCGACCCTTGGTTCCAAATCCTTCTTCGAAGTTCGTAACGCACCCGGCAAACCACCTATACACGCTTTTCTTAGCGTGGTGGGAGGGAACCCGGTGCAATGCGTATGACGAAGTCAGGATACCCATAAGTACCCGTTTGTGGGGAAACAACCGCTTTTCTTAGCATGGTGGGGACAAAAACTTTACACGGCCGTGGTGTCCTCGAATGAGGGCATCTACCATACACGCGTTTTCTTAGCGTGGTGGGAAAGGCCCAGTTTTCTCGTAGTTTTCCCCTAAACGGGGGAGACGCGAGGAGGTTGCCGAAATTTCGGGTGAAATATTATTCTACTCGAACCTGTTTTGAAACTCTAAGAGAACAAAGATGTGGACTCAAGTTGAACATTTGAACTGACACGAAGATCTGATTTGGACTATAAAGGACTTGTACTCGAACGAGACTAGTAGACTTGGGGACCTAAATCAGAACAAAATTTTAAAAGATTTCTAAAGATACAAATTCAAATGAAATAAAATCATACTTGAACCAAACTCAAGTCAACTTGAACATGAAAATGAACATATAAAGACTCCAGAGGACTTTGAACAAAAAGAAAGTGAACATTCAAATGAACTTGCAAAGAACTTCAGAGGACCCTGGACGATCAATTTGAACATGTATTTCGAGCTCATGTTTGAACTCGGACCATACGACATTAAGCGATGACTTGTAAACTTGATGGATTCAAGTTTGAATGAAATTAAACTTGGACTCAACACATACAAAGAACAAAGCTTGAATCACACACGAGGAAGTTCAAACTACAAGAACATTTATATGGTTAATAGTGATTCAAAGTATATTACAAGACCTCAATGCGTGGACTCCTACAATAATCTCTACAAATGCCTGTTGATTGAGATGGCAATACTGGAGATCAGCAATCAAAGACCCGGTCATACAAACAAACCCAACAAATCCCACCTGAGATTGGTGACAGGTGGGCATGATGTAGGCAACAATGGGTCTCCTACAAACATTTTCTAGAAGCTCGTAGTGGATACAACCGGTCCCCTGCAAATGACTACAAACCACTTGTGGATAACAACAGTGAGAACCTCGTAAGCATAGCAGACCATTGTGGACATAAGTATTAATATCACCTACGACAGTGATGGTCAAAATCT